AGTGCTATATTAGTTTACTCTGTGTGCTTCATTCATTTTAAAATATTAAAACCGATGCTCTTTTGCTAAATTTTGACTTTTTTTATGTAGATAGGATAGTTTCAATTAAAATGTTTGAATTCTGACAATCTTCATCATGACCAAGTCTCACCTGGTTCCATTAATAACCTAATTGTCACATCACAAATAAACCTGTGCATTGGAGCATCACAGTGACATGAACTTAAATGTCTATGTTCTGATGTGGTATTTCATTCGAGACTGACAAATCTTGACACTAAAACTAGTTGACAGTATTCTGAGATGGTTTGGCCTGACACTGGGTTATTCTGAGATGGTTTGGTCTGACACTGGGTTATTCTGAGATGGTTTGGTCTGACACTGGGTTATTCTGAGATGGTCTGGTCTGACACTGGGTTATTCTGAGATGGTTTGGCCTGACACTGGGTTATTCTGAAATGGTTTGGTCTGACACTGGGTTATTGAAGGCATTGGTCTGACACTGGGTTATTGAAGGCATCATCAAGTTCAGTACTTTAAGTTGACATGAAAGACATTGGGTTTTTTTAGTTTGAGCCTCACATTATTCATAGACCCATATTTTTACCTCTGTTTCATCTAAGTTATATTTTGTATAGGTTTTATAAATCTTATGTTGCCGCTTTTGTGAAGCTGTTTTCACTATCTGAATGAAATGGCTTATTTTCTTTTAGCAATACTTACATGTAAGGACAATTTACACAAAGTCCTTGGTGTTTGTATTTTTTCAAATACTTGTTTGTTGTTTTTTTTTGTTTATTAGCTACAAATATATCACTTTTATTATAAGTTCTATACAACTTAACTGTTGATAAGCTTCTGTTATTTTTACACACGAAGAATACTGTACCACCAGTTAAACGTTTTAGTAAATATTCTCTTAAGCAGTAAAAAATGTGTTTTTCTATAGGAATACCCGGTACTAATTTGCTGTCAAATATTTGAGGTTTATCTAGACCCAAAAAAAAAAAACGGTACACGATGTTTACTATTTTTTTACCCAATTACAGTTAGAAATGTATCGGTAGACAAATGGTTACCGATACCCGTGATTGATTATGTGCACCAAGTAATGTGAAATGTTTCGTAAATGTATTACAGCATTAAAAAAATATGGAGAAATTTATTTTTTGTTAATGATATCAAGTTTTTTTTTTGGTGTTTTTTTTGTACACCGTGCAATTACAAAGTTTGTTATTTCATAGTTGTTTAATTATAATTCATGTCCATTCAAAAGTTATTTGAGTTGTTAAAAAGTTGTGTTATTGTTAAAAGTTGAGTGTATATAGTTTGATCAATGCTGGGCTGGGGTAGAAATCTCAATTCCCCTAATCTTGCCGAGTACCAAGTGTTTCATCTTTCATTTAATGTCTGAACATTGGCCCCATCCCCCAAAGCCACATGTTAAACTGTGCATGTACTTAATAACTAGTTTGTCCATGTTTGTGCTGGCTTTGGTTGACTTGCTTACCACGGGGATACTCACACCGAAGGGTTGGCATTCATGTTACCATTTCCTACATTAAACATTACATAGAAGTGCTGTTTCTACTAATGGAAAAAAAGGCTAAGCATGTTTACATATATATTCAGTTCAAATACATATTCTGTTTGCATATATGCGTTGATTAACTTACATACACAAGCAAAGTCGAGGGACACAAGAAGACTTTTCTTGCCATCTCTTTAAACCCTGTAACTCCAAAGATATAGTTAGTTTAATGAACAAAAATGTCCCAGCAAGTATGGTATTTCTGTAAGTAAGTTCTTGTATATTATTTATGATCCTAGAAAATTACCAATTCAGATCTGGATTTAATGGCACTTTTGCCCAGTTTATAAACAAAATCAAGCATTTAGATTTAGATATAACTACTGACACTGACAACTTGAGTACCGGTATTGCATAAATATGCCTGTTTGCAGGTAGAACAAAGCTGACCCCTAGAAACAATGTTACCACTAAACAAATACAATTTTCTGTTAAAATTTCCTCCAATTTGGCTATTAATGTTTTTAAAGAAATGTTTTTTCATTGAGTGGATGTGTGTATTTCAAGTGTATTCATGAACTATTGTGTCAAATAACCTCACCCCATATCAACAACCAATGTATTTTGTAAACAATCAAGAAACATATGTAATAAGTGAAAATTAGCCAGTTGTCTTTATTACATATTTACAGAATGTACTTTGCCAGTATTATAAAGCATTCTATTCACCCATCAGTACCCTTGCATTACGTTAGCAAAAGGCAAACTTTGGATAATAAAGTTTTACCAATACTAAATTTATTTTGTCAGATGAAGCAGATGGAGTTGAAAGGATTGATAGCATTGAGGGAGATCATAGTAATCTTAATGTGTACATTCTTCTTGAACACACACTGCTAGCAGAATATAACTGAAAAATAAGTTTCTTTTAATGAGAAACAGTGTTTGATGGTCAACATGATGAGTCTCGTTTAATGTGTGATCTAATTACCTTATTGTTCCAAGTATAAGCCTCAAATTTTTTTTCCCAGAAATTAAGATTTTAAAATAGGGGTGTGGTCTGCAATCTAGATGTTGCAAGAATAAAAATATAATAGGGTATCACCAAACTTAAGGGCGTGGCCTATCACGGAACACTTTGGGTATATAGATAACATAAGTTGTATTGTGATTTTGGTGTCACAATATAAAAAAAATTTACTTTTTTTTTTTAATGTTATATCTGAATTCTGATTCTGTTTAAAAATGCTCTGCTTTTTCTGGTGTAATGACTTGCATATGAATTGTAAAGATTGAAAAAAATACAGTGGTTAAAGCTGAGAGAGTGTTTCTTTCGCTAAAACAGGATCAGATTGTTGTTAGAGTGTGCACATATAAACAGAATCCATGTAGCTTTAATAAAATAATATAGTATTTATCACAGTGAGTGTCTTCCGAGGAGAAGATATCACTGGACCTTGTTAATGAAACCTATGTATAATTCATGTCCAGTTTCATCAAATGGCTGTTAATTGTACAAGATTATACTAAATCCCTTTTCCTTGTTTCCAATAAATAATCATGAAAAATGTCAGTGTGGACTGTTGTTCTTTTCTTTTAAATTCATACCAGTGCATTAAATAATGTTTTCAGACCTGGTTACTGAGACCTGTCAGAACTATGATATCAAGAGACTGGGTTGTTGTTTGGTTCTGCTACTACTATTTACATCTGGTGGTGAATAGACTGAAAAATGCATTTGGTTGGGGGAGTGGGGACCATCCAGAATCATATTTAAGTGTTAGTTGTGCTCCAATTAAGTGTAGAATCATGCAAAAATATATTAAAAATATGCCCAAATGCATCCCTGAATACGAATTTATTTTTAAAAAATTCTGGGGGAGGGTGTGGAGGCCCCCTTCCCACTTTTGTTCAGGTGACTCCTCTGAGCGTGCTCAATTTTCACACCCCCCCCCCCCCCCCCCCATCTTGTCTATCAAAGTGGCAATGACTTGGAATTGGCAGACACCTTTTTATCACTATACAAAATATATATAAACAACGGCCATCTACATGAGAAAGTGGCCTTTTTTAGACGGGCGATGCAAATAGTTATTGTATGCATTTTACTTTACGTTTATTTATTTACTATTAGGATTTGGTACTATACAATTTTGAGATGGCAAGGTATTATTCTGATACAAAAATTGTACTACTTTAGGAGTTCCAAGGTAATTAGATCTGTTTTTGTTCTACAAATTTTTCTATTTAAAAAAATCCCATCTGTAAGTGCAATTAAATCTTTTTACAGCACACATTTACAACGTATTCTTCTAATCTTGTACATACTTACAGCATCTCAATCTCATGAATAAGTTTTAGCACCAACCGGAGACATCACATTTTTTTTAGAAACTTTTTTTAGAAACGCTGGCTCTCCGATTTGTTTACCCTTCATTGGGTTAATACTAGGCTACGTGTTACCTCATCTAGTCTCTATCATTCATCATTTATTTATTACTTATTCATCCTTATCATAGTTTATAAAAAATTCACAAAATATCTGTCAAAACGACTGTCAGTCATGGTCCTTCAAACCTGGATCTTTTTTTCTTTGAAAATTATTTGATTGTTCTTGTTTTATACCTCGTTCAAAGTTCTATCCAAATCAATGTAATGATGCAGAGTTCTAACTTGATGGGAAATAAGTTTAGTAAATGTGTATAAATTAAATAAGATGTTTAGAAGTCATCTTACTCAGTCCCTAATGGGTTTCTACTGTACAGGTTGGTCCATATATATATATATATATGGATATATTTCCATTACCAAGGGAAGAATACTATGGTGTTCAGAATGAATATGAATATAGAGGGCCTGTAGGTTTCCCCATTAAGAAGGGACATCATCCTTATTTAACTATAATCATACCATCCCCTGTTGTGTAGTATTTATTATTTGGCGTCTCTTGATTTGCCACTGATTAATAAGTAAAGAAATGCCTCACTATGTCTGTGGGAGGATACAGCTTCATTGTGATTCATTCATGCAATTATTTATTAAGTTTATTTTTAAAAAAAAACCTAACCCATTGATTGGTTGTGATGTACTGTAGCCAAATGTTTTCTGAGGGGGTTATGCTACCAAAGATGTATGTCCTACTGTCAAGAATGACCCCTGTTATTAAGTACCAGTACCTAACTGGAGGTTTTGTCAAAACCTTTTGTTAAGTGCTTGGCATGATCAGTAACTGTGAGCAATAAATATATAAACCCCATTCTTCAGTAGGAGTTTATTGCCTAAGAAATGACATCGCCTCCTAACCACCTCATTGGACTAACCTTTCACAAAAAACAAAACTGCTGTTAACTGTGGTGTTATATAAACTGACAAATTTGTGACTGACGTAAAACGGATACGATTCATTTGCTGCTAAATAATAAACTCTTCAGGACTAACTATACTGCAATGATTTCATTTTATTCAGTGTCTTTAAAATTTCATAATTTATTGTTTATTCAAAACTTTTCTTACACAAGAGTGGTCTTAGAGGAGAAGTGTTTATTTGAGTGAGATTTTTTAGTAGTTACAGTGGGCAAAGGGTTGGTGTCACCCGCTGCTTAGGGTTGGTGTCACCCTGTGCGGTAAACTCATGGTGTCACACACACACACCCCTCCCCCCTGAAATAAGTCAGAGGGTGAGCCAGTGCAGTCCGCAACCCCCTAGCTATGCCACTGAGTGGTTAAGTTATTTCAAACATTGCCACATACATACACAAATAAGCTAGATATTTTAATCAGGATAGCACAGTTTTATACATTTGAAATTTTACTTCACTTTTTATTCTCAGTGAAATGCTATCTTTTCAAGACAGCATCTATCAAAGACTTGGGCATCAGTGGCAATTAGTGGGTTTGGGATTTTTTTTGTCTAACTATCTCTATGAAATGTGGAATAAGTATTTCAGCATATAAAACAAAGCCCTGATGTAAAAAATAATAAAATTCTCAAATGTAATTTATGTGTAAATAAAATACACATTTGCGTTTGTATATACAAATACAATAAAAATATATTCACATCTTAAGAAATGTCACTGGTTTGTTAAATATACAGATACCAATTTTCTTTTAATATATAACATTAATTGAGCATATTTCAGTTTAAATTGACAAATGTTTCACTTTTATGAGATACATTATGAGACATGTTTGTATACATCAAATAGAAACATTGATCGTGCATGGCTATGAAGTCATTACAGTGTTTACAGTTACAATTGAAATAATGCTGGCAGTGCAGTCAAATCATGGCTATGAAGTCATTCCAAGGAATGTGTTTACAGTCAGTTGCAACTGAAATATTATGGCAGTCAAAGCATGGCTATAAAGTCATTCTGGGGACATGTTTACAGTCTGTTACAATTGAAATAATGCTGGCAGTCAAATCATGGCTATGAAGTCATTCCAAGGAATATGTTAAATTAAGAGTCAGTTACAAAAGAACTATTGCTGGGAGTCATGCGGGATGCTCCAAGAACGTTATAGTAAAATTGTTAGTTAAACTCTTCAGAATAATTTATCCTAATAGAAAAAACTCCTGTATAAATTAAATAGAATTTCATCATATACCAGACATCAAGGCTATACCAGAAGACAACGTCTGTACGAGAGTCGAATTTTGTACCAGAAGTCAGGCTACAACTGAAATCTAAGTCTAAACTGAAGTCCAAGTCTAATCCTCAAATCAAAGTCTAAGTGATACATCTGGAACATAAGTCATATACACAGTGGTAAAGCTAGGCTTAGAGCAAAAGCCAAGCAGCCCCCCCTCCCCCTTTTCCTCTCCAAGAATCAAAATTCTGCACTTGAACAAAAATGCCTGCCACCCCTCAATATAAGGAAAAAATAGTATAGCTTCCTTTTCAAGTTGACATTGGCTTCTCTTATTGAAAACAATATTTTGGCTCAAAAGAGTATTTTGAAATAAAAATGAAAAAAAAAGAAGCCACCTTAGTTAAGTACAAATTTCAATCTATACTTTGTTTTCTTTAGAAAAACTAAGTAAAATTATGTCCTTAACCAATTTTTAAATTTGTGTTCCTCTTTTCTTTGGCTTTGTTATACCTTTGTGCGCATGGTATCAAAAAAGGCACCAGGGATCCAACAAGGGCCATAGTCCCACAAAATATTAATGCATAGTTCCAGGATGATGTAGCATCTCTGATCCCACCTGTGAAATAAATTTAAAAAATATGAATTAAAACAAAAATATTAAAGATCTAACTATCTTGTGGAAAGGGTGAATAGTCATAACTATTAAACTGACTAGTATAAATAAAGGGGTTGAGTGCTATTGGAAGGGATGGGGTTCCTGAACTTTTTTTTGCTAGGTACTAGTAATAGATATTTATTTTGGAAAGGGGAGTACCTTGGGTGCGTTCCCTTGTTTTTGTTACCCCAGGACTTTAACCCTGTCTAAATATATGTTTATACTCCATATTTATTATGTAGTATTTACAAATGTTTATTTGTGCGAAACAAATTCTTTTTAAATAAAATTTTTAGTAGACTTAACCAGACTTAATAAAAATATTTCTGCAGTGTTAAATTCAATACTTTGTTTACAACTTCTGATCCCTTTTTGTACATTTACAAAGATGTTTAAAAATAATTAAACAAAGTTTGCATAGTTTCCTAAATTTTGAAAACTATTCTAGGGTCACAATAAATTTAAACCAATAAATTTATAATTGCTGAACACCAACAAGATGACAACCTCTGATTTTAATTTTAACGGCTTACTTATATGATTGAGTACCGTGTTTAAACAAATGTGCTGCATTTTCAAAAATGAAACTTACCACAGATTGCAGGACCAGGCAGCAAACTGACAGACATAAAGACAGTAATAAGCCCAAATGAGCTGCTAAGCTTCTCAACACCTGAAAACAAAATTAAACATTGGCTGACATGAAATGACATATTTTGTTTGACAAACAAAATTCAAATTAGAACGTAAAAAAAATACAATAAGCCTCTGCCCTCAGTTAAATTATGTCAATGTCCTCAGTTAAATTGCCTAACAAACAAATGTTGTTTTTTTAATTTATTTTAAAAATTCAGAAATTGTCCCCAAACCATTCAATACATAACAAGGGTCACTGAAATTCACTATTTGGAAAAAAAAAAAAAAAAATTAAAATAATAAAAAAAAAAAAAAAAAAAAAAACAGAAGAAAATACTAAAAAAAAAATTCACTATTTGGAAAAAAAAAAAAAAAATTAAAAAAATAAAAAAAAAAAAAAAAGAATGATCTGGAGGTAATTCTAAAGTAAATAGTTTTCATACCTACCTAGGGCCTCAGCCAAAAGCACTGCAATAAGGGCCCAGTATGAGCCACCAAAGAAGCCATAGAGTGCAGCATAAGCTGCCATAGCAGCAAATGATGTCATGACAGGAGCAACTAAATTTAGGCATGCACTGATACCAATACAGGTAATAAATCTGAAATTTGTATCATTAAAAAGTAGAATTTTACTTTTGACTACCAATTTTTTTTGTTCAATAGTAATTTGCAAATGAGATTTTGAGATTAAAATATATTTGGAAATGATAAGAACAACAATTTGATAATTAAGAAAAGCAAAACTGTTGTCATAAAAATTAAGTGATCCGCATATTTGTAAGTCTCAAATAGAAAATAATGCACAAGCCCCTTAAAATAGAGTTAGAATATTCTAAATTATACCGTGACTTGAAATTAATTTTAATTTGTGTTTCTGATTTTGAGGCCCTTGATGCTTAACAGAACCACATCAATAGATCCTTACTTAAATTGCTCTCATTAAAAATAAAAGAGCATTTTCCTTTATTCCAAAATTTATCAGTGATATTTTAACCTGTGTAACTAGTGTAAGAACAGAGAAATCTCATAAGCAAAACGAGAGCTCACCCATATCTTTTAGGAAAGAGGTTCAAATCTGAGAACCAGCCAAGGAATAGGCGACCCATCAAATCTGTGATTCCAATAATTGACACCAACAAGGCTGAGTTACTGCGGTCTTGACCATTCTGAGAATCAAAATGCCCAACATGAACAGTGCATTGGCTAACACCAAGGATGTCTATGCCACTGCTTAACATGTCTAGGAAGCTAAAGACAAATTATTTCGGGGAACAACAATTTTCCAAATCTCTCTAAAGGCTTGAATTAAAAACACAGTATTTAGGAATCATTTACCAGTATTTCATCCCCCAAATATAATGCTGAAATCGCTGGGATTTTATTGTGTAACCATAATTTATCATAACTGTAACTACTAGTACTAGGCTAATAATTAATTTTTTTTTTTTATAACTTGAAGATGGGAATTTCTATTTTGACATTTGATTATTTGTTTATTTAAACATATAGTCTAGACGCTATGTAAAAATAAAAAATAAAATATATTTTTTTAAAACATAAATCGCTACATAAAATTACAAAAAATCACTCACACTTTCAGCAAAAGCGGGTAGCATGAAAAAGACATTTGGGTATCCAAAGTTTGCCAGGCCACATGATATCGCATAGATCAGAAATACAGGATTCTTGAACAGTGACCAGTTAAATAGCTTCTGTTTTTTGACCGGCTTCTTTGACCCTATGGTTGCATCTCTCGAAAAGCTGAGAAAGTCCGGTGAAATATCTTGCAAATCCTCACTGGGGATATTCTGGAGAGATGCCATGAATAGGTCACTGTGACTAACATCTCTTGATGGCTTCGATGACAGTTGACCTAATTCTTCAATTTCTACAATTTCCATTTCTTGTAAATTAAGGTTGCAAATTTCTGTTGAGAAATCTAGGCTGGTGATTTGATTCTGGTCAGACATGCAACTTTTCACATTATCACTGATACCAGCATTATCTGATTCCCTTATAAGACAAGTTTGTTCAGCCTCAATGTCATTCAGTCTTTTGATCCCATTTTCACTGACATTAAACTCCATATTTAGCCTGTTTTTTCCATTTATTTTGTCACTTCTTTCAGTCAAATGACTCTGCTCTTTATTAGACACATTATTACTGCTGATGTTTTCACAGCTGTCTGACCGATCATTCCCAGTGATTAATTGATTTATTCCCATTTGAAAACTTGTGTCAGGGTTGGCCTCACCCTCCCCGCATCTGATGTAGGTTTGTTTATCAATCTTAACAATTCTATGCTGTGGACTTTTTCTGAATTTTTTGCTGGGGCTGTAACTACTCAAGGGCCTTAATAGCATGGCAAACACACAAACGTTTAGCATTATCCCACCTAGGATGAGCAAGCATCCACTAAGATTGTACTTTTCAAGCATTAACCGCATGAGGTTTGGGAGAATGAATGAACCAACTCCAGAGCCAGCGACTGAGAGTCCATTGGCCAGACTCCGGCGCTTATTGAAGTGATGACCAACCATGACAACGCAGGGGCTATATGACAGGCCGAAGCCAAAACCTGCAAATAAAAGTTAAACTTCTTTAGTTTTTGAAATTTTTGGTTTTTTAAACTTTTCACTTTTATTGAATGTTTAACAAAGGTGTCATTGAATATTTTGTTATTTTTTTCTTAGCTATTTTTTGTTTTAAAGAATATTGATCCTACTATTAGCACCTGATATTCTGGATATAGCAAGTGAAATGTTTTTAAGGGGAAGTGCAAAATACATTATGTTGTTGGTTAAGTTGGAAGTGCAACTACAATTCAAGCTATGTTACTGTTCACTTGTCACAACACCAAACATAATAAGAGTTAGTTATTGTGTCATTATACTATTTTTAGCAGCAACAAGTCTCACTATTTTAATTATAGATAGATCAAGTAAATTTCTAATCCTAGAGTTGTCTACTTAGAAAATGTAAACATATGGGTTAAATTCTTAAATTAAGACATTGTGGAACTATCAAAGGTAGACAGGTGTAGACAACTGGGATGGGCATTGAAGGATCATAAAGTTCAATCAGAAATGGACAGTTCCAAGAACAGACCAGGCTAGACAAAGAGCATGCATAGGGGTGGACAATTTGTTATAAGGCCATATGTGGGACAAACCACTGTAGTTTTTTTGTTTGTTACCGGTACCTGTTATGAGGCCATATGTAATGTAGAGCGGCCAAAAGCTAGGCAGGTAGGCAGACAGGATAAAACCTAACGATGTCAGCAAGCCACCAGCAAACACAACCTTGCGAGCGTTAAACTTGACAGCCAGGAGGTTGGCAAACAGTCCTGTAGGAAGTAAACCACACAAAGGTTGGACATGTGGATGATTCCTAAACTTAAAATATCAAGGCGAAAATGTGTGTTGGAGCAAACGGAATATCAAATTGAGGAAAAATATAAAACATTTAAAAAAAATAAAAATAAATTGTTTTGCTCACTTATGTCACCGTTTTCAGCAAATATTTCAATAAAATAAATGTATGGAAATAGAAATGTAAATGTGTTTGGCAACACTAATTTATAACAGCTCTCAGATCAAAATGCACACAGGATACATTTCTATAATCATAATTTTGTGATGTTCAATAACAGTTGTCTAATATTCACCAAGTTCACCAAAACATTTCATAGAAAATCTACAAAAGATTAGTAATCATAATAAATAATAACAATATCTATACAAATATTATATATCCTAAAAACATTAAATAATAAAGAATGATAAAATGTTAAAGCAATATCCCTATTTAGGAATTTCACCATAAAGGATAAAAAAAATTGTTCAGGCAAAAATTCCTATCTAAGAACTGTGACTCTACCTTGGAAGACATCAATGCCCTCTAAGTGAAGTGTTGTACCCGAGGGTGGGGTGGGGGATGAGAAAGAGTTGGTCTCTAGTGAGTGTCTTAATAGGTCTTTTTTTTTACTATAGGGTGGAGGTTGAGAAACAATAGGTCTCCTCCAAGTGTCTTAATAGGTCTTTTGGTTACTATAGGGTGGAGGTTGAGAAACAATAGGTCTCCTCCAAGTTTCTTAATAGGTCTTTTTTTTTTTACTATAGGGTGGAGATTGAGAAACAAAGGTCTCCTCCTAGTGTCTTAATAGGTCTTTTTTTTTTACTATAGGGCGGAGGTTGAGAAACATAGGTCTCCTCCAAGTGTCTTAATAGGTCTTTTGGTTGCCAAAGGGTGGTGGATGTAAGAAAATTGGTCTCCTCCAGTGTCTTAAATAGGTCTTTTGGTTACCTAAGGCCATCATCAGTGTCTGGGCCATTCCTTGAATAATTCCAAGATCCCCAGCCTTGACCCCATACATGTCCTGGAACTCAACAAAGAGCACACCAAATGACTTCACTCCCCCGACCACCAACACATGCATTCCGAAACAGCCTGTGGAAAACATACGGAATTTTAACATATCTTTTTTTTCTTCTCCAAATTCATGAATAATCAATGTTGACATTGGTGCTGACTTCTGACGATAGCCTACCTGACAAGGGGTCAATCTGACATTGGTGCTGACTTCTGACGATAGCCTACCTGACAAGGGGTCAATCTGACATTGGTGCTGACTTCTGACGATAGCCTACCTGACAAGGGGTCAATCTGACATTGGTGCTGACTTCTGACGATAGCCTACCTGACAAGGGGTCAATCTGACATTGGTGCTGACTTCTGACGATAGCCTACCTGACAAGGGGTCAATCTGACATTGGTGCTGACTTCTGACGATAGCCTACCTGACAAGGGGTCAATCTGACATTGGTGCTGACTTCTGACGATAGCCTACCTGACAAGGGGTCAATCTGACATTGGTGCTGACTTCTGACGATAGCCTACCTGACAAGGGGTCAATCTGACATTGGTGCTGACTTCTGACGATAGCCTACCTGACAAGGGGTCAATCTGACATTGGTGCTGACTTCTGACGATAGCCTACCTGACAAGGGGTCAATCTGACATTGGTGCTGACTTCTGACGATAGCCTACCTGACAAGGGGTCAATCTGACATTGGTGCTGACTTCTGACGATAGCCTACCTGACAAGGGGTCAATCTGACATTGGTGCTGACTTCTGACGATAGCCTACCTGACAAGGGGTCAATCTGACATTGGTGCTGACTTCTGACGATAGCCTACCTGACAAGGGGTCAATCTGACATTGGTGCTGACTTCTGACGATAGCCTACCTGACAAGGGGTCAATCTGACATTGGTGCTGACTTCTGACGATAGCCTACCTGACAAGGGGTCAATCTGACATTGGTGCTGACTTCTGACGATAGCCTACCTGACAAGGGGTCAATCTGACATTGGTGCTGACTTCTGACGATAGCCTACCTGACAAGGGGTCAATCTGACATTGGTGCTGACTTCTGACGATAGCCTACCTGACAAGGGGTCAATCTGACATTGGTGCTGACTTCTGACGATAGCCTACCTGACAAGGGGTCAATCTGACATTGGTGCTGACTTCTGACGATAGCCTACCTGACAAGGGGTCAATCTGACATTGGTGCTGACTTCTGACGATAGCCTACCTGACAAGGGGTCAATCTGACATTGGTGCTGACTTCTGACGATAGCCTACCTGACAAGGGGTCAATCTGACATTGGTGCTGACTTCTGACGATANATTGACTAAAATATGTGTACTTAGACCTTTTCACTAAAAACATGTACTTTAGAATATTGACTAAAATATGTGTACTTAGACCTTTTCACTAAAAACATGTACTTTAGAATATTGACTAAAATATGTGTACTTAGACCTTTTCACTAAAACATGTACTTTAGAATATTGACTAAAATATATGTACTTAGACATTTTCACTAAAAACATGTACTTTAGAATATTGACTAAAATATGTACACTTAGACCTTTTCACTAAAAACATGTACTTTAGAATATTGACTAAAATATGTGTACTTAGACCTTTTCACTAAAAACATGTACTTTAGAATATTGACTAAAATATGTGTACTTAGACATTTTCACTAAAAACATGTACTTTAGAATATTGACTAAAATATGTGTACTTAGACCTTTTCACTAAAAACATGTACTTTAGAATATTGACTAAAATATGTGTACTTAGACCTTTTCACTAAAAACATGTACTTTAGAATATTGACTAAAATATATGTACTTAGACTTAGACCTTTTCACTAAAAAATGTGTACTTTAGACTATTGACTACAAATACAGGCACTTAGACCTGCTGACTACATAACAAAGAACCAACCTACAACGACTACCCAAGCCCAGCCTCTGTCTATGGGAACGCCCCTGGGTCCTTGAACATTCTGTGTGTCGGGGACGTTGGAACCGCTACAAATGACGTGTTGGTCATCTTTGTGGTCATCTTTCAGCATGGGGCTGTCGGCTTTAGTGGCATCATCTGGATTGTGGTCAACCATCTTTGTGTGGTGGTCTCAGTTGACCCAGTTAACGTGTGTTAACCCCGCGACGATGGGAAAACTGTACTACAGATCGGGAGACGAAATCAATTTAAAATCATGCTTTTGTTTCATATTAATTTATCAGCAGAACATTTCACAAAGCTCGAAATGTCGCAAAATCAAGGAAAGGTAATTTATCATATTTTGTCCTTGTTATACCACTCATCACCAAACAATGGTCACATGCCTGCTATACCACTCATCAACCCACGGTCACATGCCTGCTATACCACTCCACATAACTAACCCGTGGTCACATGCCTGCTATACCACTCCACATCACCAACCCGTGGTCACATAGCTGCTATACCACTCCACATCACCAACCCATGGTCACATGCCTGCTATACTACTCCACATCACCAGCCCGTGGTCACATAGCTGCTATACCACTCCACATCACCAGCCCGTGGTCACATAGCTGCTATACCAAACCTTATTCCAAACCGTACAAGCCATCGTTCTGCTCTATCACAACTATCGAGGCATTTCACTCCTTTCCGTAGCTGGGAAGATCTTGCCACGAGTCTGGGAGTGAAGGAGTCTCAGTGGGCGGGGGGGGGGGGGGGGGG